TCTCTCTCTCGATGGTTCCTTGCGCTTCGTCACCAGTCACTCGCGTTTCGCGCTCGCCTCTATGCGAAACCATGCAGAAAACGAAGCGCCTGAGGAAGAGGCAGCTGTATTAGAGCATATGTCTGAGGTATCCTGCGAATACATACCACCGAAGCAGCCTCTTTATTCGGCTTTATTCGCAAGCTACCTCAGAGAAGAAAGAATCGTGTGAATTACGTCGTTATGTTCAAATGAAACCTCTTGGAAGTACCAACGTATGTTCAACTTATTAGCTTTGGGTTTTGTTTTTAGCTGTTGTTATTACTTTTCTTTTCAGTATTAACGCGTATTATGAGACTTTTCCAGTGCAAAAAAGAACAAGATCAACATTCAGCCATCTTAAGCGAACAAGAATTTATTATATAAACACCAATGAAATACCAGGTGAGCTTTAGCGCGAAATTATGAAATCTTCACACGTTATTTTCACATGTGACAAGATCACCGTTGCTATGGCTACATAATAAATCGCGCCTTTCGCAGCAAAAAAATATTTGAGTGAAATGGTTTGGCATGTCATTGGTGTTTATATAATAAATAGAACATTACACGGCCGCTTGGAGATACGAAATTTCTCGTCTCGTGTTGAAAAATATTTCACTCGTTCGCACTCGGCGCGGCCATGTAATATCCTCTATTCATTATATGGCCAAAAAGAGAACTTTCTCTTAAGGGACCAAAGCGGGAAATCCCGCGAGCGGGCAAGATGGGCCAATCAGGGCACAGAACTGACTGCACCTTGCCGCTGCGGAATCAGTCATATAATAAACCTTCCCACCGAAACGACAACTGGCTACTTTATGAATCAAAGATGAAATATTAACTGATTGGGAGTTTATGATAATAAATTGGTTCATATCTTGGAGAATAAAGTATCTTCTTCGGTGAATTAAAGTCAGTGATTCGCCTCAGATCACAGGTACCAAATGACATGAGGAAAACTGGTTGAAAATAGGCTAGGCCTTAAAAGACAGTACATCAATTTCAATAATAATTACATCTTAACTAAAATCGTTCTCTTTAATTTAAATAGAAAGTGTTGTTCAACGCAAGCAGAAACCACTTCCTGAAACCCAGCCGCTAATTAAAATCCGCACCTTAATTTTCAGTAATGGTACACGCTGGCGGGTAATTATCTGTTATTCCTGAATATTAGGAAAACTGTCCACTTCTCCAGTTTCTGTGTTTGGGATGCTGTCAACTTCGTAGCTAACTTTATATTTTAACCTGATCTTTTCCTGTGATATAAAAAAAATTTTTTCCAAGAGTTAGCATTTACGATTCTTAGCCTCAAACACATGAATAGCTACATTTTTACAACATTCAGTTCCTAGTGATTACAAGCTAATTTGAATTTATCCTCTTGAGCGAAAACTTAGTTATATCAATTGCCCAAAAACTTCTCCATGAGTTTAAGCATCTATTCGTATTTTAAGACAATTAATTCATAGTCCTTTACACATCTTAATAAAGCAATAACGTCACGAAAAGACGTTTCAGTAAACTTAAGTACACTGGTCAGATTTTGTCTCTTGGTACTCCGTGGCAAAACAAAACAAAACAAACAAGTAGAGGCCAAAAACCGCTGTCAGAAACCTTTCGCAATATAAATCATCAACAAGATTGTACCTCAACGGAAAAAAGGAATGATGCCATACGCACGATCAGAGGGATTATCCACTCAGCAGTTTGGCAATGACAGAGCTTACCTTTGCGGGGTTAGCTATCAGCATGACTTGAGTGATGGCTGAAGGAGGAAGAATGGGGTTATAACCCGGTAACTCGCTCCCTGATGGAGGCTGAAGCTTCACTCTCATTGTCTGCAAAACAAAGCAAGATCTCACAATAACGTCCGAAATTCATATGTAATCTTGATGAGAGAACTGGAACCTTGCTGGTGACCCATTTTCCACAAATGTGGCCGGTCAAAGAGATTTGAGGTAAAAAAAAAATTGTACTTTGTTTGCCCACGGAGCACTTAGGAGTTCTTAAGAACTCGTTGTCCGTGCGTTTCAGATCGAATTGGAATTTGGAAGTGTTGGTTTTTGAGGAGAGGGGAAAACCAGAGTACCCGGAGAAAAACCTCTCGGAGCAAGGGAGAGAACCAACAACAAACTCAACCCACATATGGCGTCGACGCCAGGATTTGAACTCGGGCCGCACTGGTGGGAGGCGAGTGCTCTCACCACTGCGCCACCCTTGCTCCGCCCGCAAAAAGTAAATGAAGGTGAATACACGGGTACGCTAATGACAGAGGCCCGGATTAAGGAAGCTGATGAGTACAAAAAAGGCAAATACAAAAACAAGAAAATGGAGTACATTGACATACTGTTTTTCACCCAAAAGGCTCTCAATTTTCCCTGAGTTCACTTTTTCCGAATAAGCTCCCTTCTCCCTAGGCCAAAGCAGCTAATAAGTGCACCCTACCCTGCCCCGCCCCATCAGCAAAGGTTTATAAACAAAGAAAAGACATAATGCTCGAGAGAAACCTCTTATCCTCTTACCTTCGGTACTGCAGCTTGGAAGACAAAATTTTTAACCGCTGAAGACAGCGAACTCATGGTGGATATGACAACTATCATTAGATCATTCCTATTTAACTCTGCACTTGTCTGTAAATTAAGTGGAACAAATTGTCAAAGTGTTAAATAAATTAATAGTCTGACGGCTAGCCGATAAGTTATCCTGATAATGGTGGTGGCGGTGGTGGTGGTGCTGATGATAATGATGATGAGTGGCCTGTGAACTAGCTCTCCTTGTGTGGGAAGGGGGGGGGGTAAAAATTCGTGAGAAGACGGCTCGCTCGCGATGTTTTCTCTTTTTCCTCCACCAAAGGAGCCTGATCCCGGGATAGATGATAACCGATGCGTTTTTGTGATGGCTGTACTAACAAATGACGTTAATGTTACAGATGATGGTAATGATGATTTCTTACTTAAGTTACTCCCTTAAGACTCGCACTCTAGAGTTGATAAATTTGTACTGAATGCATACAATATAAAACATTCATCACAGCTCATAACCAGGACTTACTCACACCACCAGGACTTACCTTTGCAAAATGGAAAATTATTCTGATACCGTTCTTGTCAAGAATTGTTAGTGGTGGATGGCTTCCTATAGAAATGAGAAGGGAAAGCGTTGTAGCTTGATTCTTCTTCTTTATTTCATCCCTCGATTAAAATTGCCAGTAACCCCATAAGTCAAAAACTGGAGAAATGTAGGACAAAATATTTACGCGCCAACACAATCAATGCATTAAAAACAAAGGCCCTGGCCGAAAGAAGGAACGTGGCGGTAAGTTTATTAAAACACGCATGTGCGCAAAGTAGTAGCCTGCGTAGCATGGCGGTTTTTGTCCAGCCGGACGCACGAGCGGCGAAGCCGCAAGAAACCAAGTTGCTCCCACCCAAATCTCCTCGCGGTTTCTCTGCCCTCGCCCGCCTTTATTACTTAGCGCGCCCAACCAAAACCGCCATGCTACGCAGGTTAGCAAAGTACACGAACGACATCTCGACATCATTTTTAGCCACATCATTTTGGTTAGACAAGCAACCACGTAAAGCAAAGCGAACAGATTCTGTCTTCTTCAGCTTTCGGAATGATTAACTCATGGAAGAACGCTCTTTCTGTATTGTGGATACTTTTAGCGGGGAAACTACAATAGCTTGTGTCGAATTTTTCACGTTTTTACGTATTTTCACAGGAAGCGGTGTTCTGTGCACTCGTGTTTTTCGCTTGCTTGACTTTATCTGACAAAGCGAGGCTGTTTTGAAGTCTATTCTCCGACTGGCTGATAAAAGGTTTCACTCGGTAAACATATTGTTCAAGAAAGTCATTATTTTAAATAATTCCTGTCTGGAAATCCAAAGCAATAATCTGAATCGAGGCTTAGGGCCACTTATTTAAACGTTGTTTCGCCAGTGGTTAACAAAACCGTGTTCTTAGCCATTTTCAATTAGTCCAACGGTTTTATCTAAACGTTTATTTTATGAAAGCTTATAGAGCAGACTAGAAAAGCATTTATATAACCCACTAAGGAAAAGATCTGCACGTCTAAAGGTTTGTTAAACCGCGGCTTTAAGTTAGACTTCGTTTAAATAACCGACCCTTCAGACTGTTTACCTGGTTTTATGGTATCTAAAGGCACAAATACATTGTCCAGGGCGGCAGGTACAGTTGGTTTAGGTGGTGATGTGAGAGAAGCGAAGCTTGCAGCTGAATTGGAACTTAAATTAAGTAAACCAGCAGGCTGTGGTGATAATGCAGGACTTGGCTCAAGCCCAAGTGATAGTAAGCTGTCTGTTGACGGGCCTGTAACCTGCTGCTGCTGCTGCTCGGGTGCTGCTTTTTCCTGCAATGGTGTTACAGTTTGTTTCTGTTTCTGTTGTTGTTTCTGTGTCTGCAGCATTTCCTGACCCAGTAGGTCAAGGGCACTGGGAGGCTTTGTTGGCTCGTTTCCTTTCCGGTTCACCGTTCCTCGGCCTCCGGACCCAGTGGTTGCCATGGTGAGGCTACTCGAACCCATACTCATTGGCCCTGGTCTGGGTGGCATTGACATTGCTCCCAGTCCCATAGGTTGGAAAGGTATTCTAGGCATTTGTCCTGTTGCCATGTAAGCAGGCGGGCCCACACCGGGTGGTTGGTATTGACCCATGGGTCGGACCACGCCGACTGTTGAAGACATATTCGTTGGGCCCATGCCAAAATTCTGAGCTGGTGCTCCCCAAGGTCCCATGCTGGCTGGTTGTTGGGTACCCTGTGATAATTTTACACACAGTAAAGTGAATTTAGGGCTCCTTACGAAACTGGGGCCTTTTTCTCAGAACTCTCAATAATTAACGGGCCCGAAAAGCGGTAATTGTTGTTTTCATAGACATTTTCATATAACATGAAAAAACTATCAGTTGATTAAACAAAATGGGCGGGTTTGTTAGCTTCATGTAGGACCCACGATTTTATTCTTTACATTTTGATTTGAATATTTGATTACAGAACTGAAAAGTTACCGGGACTTTCGAGGTTACCCCTCACTTTTCCCATACCAAGTACAAACTGAATGAAATACATTGTATTGTATCTTGTAATTGATCGATCCCCAAAAAACTGTACCTGGATTGGCAAATGCACAGTCGAGGCTGCAGGTGGAGCATCAAGGTCATGAAGCCCTGAAAAAAATGTCACAATTGTCAAGTAGTCTCAATAAATCAATTAACAAGCGAAAAAAAAGAGGTTTAAACTACAACGTACACTTTGTTGTACTCAAAATATACGGGTACATTTTTAAAGCGATATTAAGACAGCAGAATCATAACCTTTAAAGGTGCGTTTGCGCGAACTGAACTCCAGGAAGAAGACCAATTAAATGAACATTTGTTATTGATCAGTACACAATACATTGATAACGCCAAAAAAGGGCAAATTTCCGGCCACATTTCCCCTTCTTCCCAAGCAAAGTAATGCTCTGACGACTCCATATGAATATTTCTAAAATAGACATGGACCGTAAACGTTACGTACCAAGCCAATTTTAGAAGGATTTGTCTGGGGTCATCAGAACATAAAGGTGCTTATATCTCCCCGCCAATTTGCACTAACAAGCTGATATTTGGCAAAGGCGCTTCTTTCATCTTGTTCTTTCTGAATTTGCTAACCAATCCCATAATTTCATAAATTCGATTATTTGTGCTGTTACGCTTCTCTTCTCTTTACCTGACATCCGTGATTAAATAAATAAATACCGCAATACTTACCAAGGGCCTTGAGTTCGTTTTCCAGTACACTAGAAGCAGGTGTTTCTGCTGAATCAGCTGTCTGACCTCCTACACCTAAATCAATAAGTGTGGACGCAGGTCCTGTTGACAACTCTTGTACATCTGCAGTCTGAGTTGTTGGAGGGAGTGTTGGTTCAGTCCTAGCGGATACGCCAGGGGCTAATCCAAATATCTTTCGGTAGTACTCTAACACTCGTGATAGATCATCATTTACCCGTAGGATTTCAGCTGAAAAAGTCAGCACAACAACTACAGTTAGTTCTTTTTTAAAAAAAAAAAATGTATTAAATTTGATTTGCTGCACTCAACTAGGGTTGGTTCTTCCCACAGAGAGCAAAATTCCACGAGTTTTCCAGAAATAAGTGAGAAAATTTTAACGTCCAGGGCCTAATTGTGTGAAGGCCAGTTAACGCTAACCCAGGGTTAAATTTCAACCTGGGTTTCTTTCTCTTTTGTTCAAAAGCATTTTCCCGGATAACTTTCTGTATTCTTTTTACAGCATCCAGTCATCAAATTGTAGACTAAGAATATAACTGAATTTGCCTTTTAAGCTTTCATATCTGATTTAAATTTCGCCAGACTTGTCGTTATCCAGACTTGCCAAGTCTCACGACTTTGTCGTGAGTCTCACTGACGACTTCACGACCTATCTCACGCTCTCACGAGTTGGCAACTCATTTCTCAAGCTTTCTCGAAAGTTAAACTCCAAAAAATTTTGGGATTGTAGGGTTCGTTTCCAAGGTAGATATCAATAGATAGCCAGCTCAATCCGAAGAAAACGCTTAGCCATCGCGTTTGATTGCATTCTTCTAGCCTACCGCTACTTGCCGCTGCCACCAACTGTGAAGCAGTTTCTCTCAAGATGGCCGCCAAAAAAAAAAATTACAAAACCTATAACTCGTAAAATTGATCGTGATGTTTACTGCTCCAGCGTTAAAGTGATACGTGACTTCCAATACCCATAATCTCCACTGAAAGTCCTTCCAATGGGAAATTTGGGACAAATCACGACCTTTTACTCATTTCTCATTACTTTCCTCAGGTCTAGGTTCGGAGTCTCACATTTTTTGCCTTTTGGGGGTTAGCAAGTCTGGTTATCTTAACTCTGCTTTTAACAACCCGGCCCAGTTCAATAATAATTATAACAATTATTGTTGCATGCACTTGTGCTGAATCTAATGCAAATGAGCAAGAACCGTAGATTTTCACCATTAGCATTAAATTTGATTCAGCACACGTGAAATGCAATGTTTAAACCGGACCTAAGACAAAGATTAGTCATACAACTAAACACTATAAAATGCTTTTTAGTTATTTCATGGAAATTAATTTCTAAATGAAAAAATCAAAGGAAGATGCATGTAAATAAGGAGAAATATCCAACTGCTGTTTTCTACAGTAGAGCATTGGAAGAAAATTCTGAATTTCCAGGTATTTTCTAGACAACCCAGGAGAAGTACAGATCCTATATCATCTCATCATCTCATCATCTTTATGTCAGATTAGAACAAAAGGAGCTTTTCAAAGTTGATTTATCTGACCTAGCCCCTCATCACCATCTTCGGTTGCTGAACTTGCTAATCTAAACAGCTGTGGTCTCATCTTATCACAGGCATCATAAAGTTCCTATCAATTAAACAACAAAATGTATACATTATACCAAGAGCAGAAGTCCAGTATACAAAGCAAACAGCCTCAAAAGCTGAGGATTATATCAAAAGCATGCTTCATGTTTCATTCCTTTCACCAGTTAAGATGAACTCAACAAAATGGCCTGCTCCCAATGTATGGGTCTTCTTAGCTCAAATGGTAGAGCACTGCAGTACTAACGCAGAGGCCAGCGGAGTTCGAATCCTGTTGAAGTCCCAAAAAATTTTTTCGGGTTTAGTTGCAATTGCTGCAACAACCACTGCGACAATCATGTCTTCATTCAAAATTTGTATGTCCATAGTTCACATCATCTTCATTAATTAAATTCAGTTAAATGAAATTTTATTTAGATGCATAGATTCACAAAGAGCAGCAATTTAACTAAGACGCATATCGCAAAGAGCAGCTGGCATGGTCTGCTTATGGCTGTCAGCAGGAGATAAATATTAGGGCCTTTAAGTAAATCACTATGGTGACCTGTACTAAAGCCCTAAAACGACGCAGTGCACATGCTTGGGAATGAGAATTTGCCAAAGTGCCAAATCCTATAATGTGAAAACCTATCAGTCTTGTGGCGTAGTAGCTACTAATGTATAAGTCAACTTTTTCCCTATTTTTACAATCACTGGTTTTAAAACCTATCATAGATTGTTTTTCACTTTATCGAGAAAGTATTTGACGCTTCCGGTTTTCCAGTAATAATGTCTTCCCTGCTTTTTACTGACAGCGAAAGCATATGAACAAGAAACCTCATAGTCACTGTTAGGACACCGCTTGTTTAAAGTTGAAATTTGGCAGGCTAAAGTAACATACTCTCCCCAGGACTCCACATCCATGACTGCCCTTGTAGAGGTTGCTGTAGTGATTAGCTTGAAGTCTTTATTAGTGTGTAAACTGAGCATGAAGCTTATAATTCAGCCTCTTAAATTATTACAAGTTCACTGGACCATAAAGATTACGTTACTTACCTTCATCAACTCCTTGTCCTGGGCAGGAGAGCTTGGGCTGTAGTGGTTCAACATCTCTGTTAACAGTTTGATGTTATTACAGCATGTGTCTACTTCTGTGTTTCTTTTCACTTGCCGTTCTATCTTCATTTCATCCTTATCAAAATAAATACAATAGATCACACATTATTTCATAGGATAACACATCTAAAGCAATACTCAAATTGCAGAAGTATTTATAAAATTTACAATCTTAGGCAGTTCACTAGTTCCAGGAAGTAATCCAATTTAATTTATGGGAAACACAGATTATTTCACTCAAAAGTTTGGTTTATTGCTTCATCAGTGTGCAACAAAAGTCCTGTTCAATAGCCCGGTGCTGGTAGAGCAACCTGTCATGCCAATCTATCCTGCTTTAATTGCATGTTGTCCTAAAGGTAAGCAACATTAATTTGCCAAAGAAAATAGGGAAAAATTGAGGTTCATGAAAAAGGAGTTGGTTGTCCTAGTACATAAGCTGCTCTGGGATTACAAACTTTAGCAACAACTAGGCAAGTGCTTTTTTGTCTTGTGTTGTGTCCAATTGGTATCAACCACCCCCACGTCTTAAAAACATGGATGTGTCACAGGTCAAAATTAAATTCAGGTTAAAATCTTTTAAACCTAGGTTGATTCTCAATTTTCTTTGTGTATCACTTAGGGCTATGCGTAAAGAAATTTACAATGCTTATGAAATCTTATTATAGATGAGCGCATTCTATGCTAACATCTTTAGCACAATAAAAGACACTCTTGCTCTTATTTAGATGTATGTTTAAGTATGGTGTCCTTTAGAGGTCAATTTAAGCTTGAGCCACACCCACATTGGTCTTGCTTAGGGGTTTTAATTTTAGTTTTCAGACAAGCATCCCTGTCACGTTTGTGTGAGAGTCCATCCAACCCCAGGGGAAATAATCTATCTCTTGTTACCTGTCTGACCATGGTCTTAATCAGTCTGTTTGCTGCTTGTAAATCTTCTGGATGAGAACTCTTCAAAAGCCGAGACAGAAGCTAAATAAACAATGTACAAATGTACAAATGAAAACAAATTAGTTAACAGTCATGCATGCATATTTTGGTAGATGAATAACCTTATGTTAATAGGCAGGTCAGCAAAAGTCTGCCAGATATTCCTAAGGAAAACAAACTTAACTGTATTCCTTTAATACCATAATCATTCAAATCCCAAGCTATAAAAATATTTAGAACTTTTTACATATTTATACGTACCCAAAAGATAACAGGATTTACATGTACAGTGGAACCCCGTTAATGCGACTACCGTTGGGCCATAAAATCCTGGTCGTAATAACGAGGTGGTCGCATTAACGGGGTCCTCAAAATAATAAAATGACTCAATGGTTTTTACGTTTGGTTTGAAAGAATATGGCCGTAATAACGAGGTGGTCTTATAAACGGGGTGGTCGTAAGGCGGGGTTCCACTGTATCTTATCAAAAAAACACATCAAGTTATACCATTCAAAAAAGCTAACCTTTGATTTTTCTTCATCCTCAAATATTGTATCTTTGGGTCTTTCAGGTGGTGGATCCTATCAACAAAAATGTTACATGTATTATAATATCATTATTACTGACCATGGTATTTTTCTTAACTTATACTAACTTAAAATAATGAGCATTTCATGTTAGGTTTTTTAAGATACATGTGTAAATAAAGTAGTAAGAATATTATTGTTTGATGAGATGTGAAAGAGTGTGAAAGTTTCTTTAAATCAACTGCCATTCAAAAGAAATCCTGACAAATAATATTACTAAAAATGAAAATGCTCCCTGCAACCTCAGTTTAAAGACTAAACTAATAAAAAACAAAAAATAATAAACTATTTAGTACCAGTAATCAGGGTGCGAAGAAATTCAGTTTTACAGCTTGCCATTTGGGCAAGCTGCAGCTATAACATGTACTAGCCCAACAGTCATTTTAATTAGCCAAAAAAAAAATTGAGGAGCAGGGTTGATTACAGATGTTCTGTCAGTTAAATTTCCCAAAAAATTCATTTTGTATCGGGCAAGTTAAGTTGCATGCTGCAGGAAACACAATAATATTAATACAAATGACAAAAGTTACTTTTTTCATTTTTCTCCAACTGACTTGGTAAATACAAAACAACCATCCCCTCAGGGTCAGTGAACAGCACTAGATATGTACCTCGAAGCTTTGCATCTTGGTATATATCCACCACTATTCACCTCCCCTTTGGGGGATAGTTGTATAATATTCATTTTTTTAGGGCACAAGTCAATATTACGGTGTTCTGTTTCACAACAGTTTCAGAAGATAACATTTTATCCCCCTCAAGGTCAGTACATGGTGCTTTACAGCCTGTATATAAAATTCAAAACTTTCATCACTGTATAACTATTGTATACTTTCAACCATTATTTACCTTCCAATTAGGGGATACTGTACTACGTTAATAAATAAGATAACAACATCAACAGCACTATAGTCAATACGTACTACAGACTTCGCATAAGGATCTTGAGGGTCCTTTGTAACAATTCCTGCAAAAATAACAATCATGGGAAATTACATTGTAGAGCAAGCAATGAATGTCCCCTATACTTTTTTCATGAAGCATGATTGGGGACACTCTTTTATCCTTGGGAAGGGCAATTATTTAAGTTTTTATTTATTCATGATTTATGATTACCAATCCCAAGACAACTTTTATGTGTATCTCAAATCAGTTTAGGAATTAAAGGGTGACACCTGGACACCAATTTTCTTGAAGTTCTTTTTAGTGCATGGCCCATACCTGACCTTGCAAATTCTTGTTGCGTGACCAAACAGCTGTGACGACACTTCAGCAAGGCACGTCATTAAGCCTGACTCATCCCAAGTCTTCTCCTTTGTCTCTCTTAAATAAATGTGGGAAGCGCATGCAGAATGTATGTGTGAGAAGGTGGTGGTGGGTAGGGGGGGGAGGTGTTGAAGGGATCTGCTGTTCTGTTACAGCCTACAAAGGACAAGAGACGACTGGGTATGAGTCAGGATCAAAGCCGTCAGGTTTGTTTTCTTTTGTTTTATTCTACTTGATAGAGCGGTTTTCACTTGTCGTTGTCGGGATTGGTTTTGGTTTTGGTTTTGGTTTTACTACGCCCTTTGGTTGGCTAGTGTATTTACTTTGGTTTTGGTTTTACGACAGTCAAGTAAGAACCGCTCTAGTGGAGTCAAATTGATGGGAGTATTAACTTTACATATCACTTCATCACTTTTAAGACAAAAAAACTAAGTAAATATTACTTTTTACGAGAATGGTACAAAGCACATAAATCTACAGGGAAACCTTTGTGAATTATAACATATAAAAACATAATACAATGTGAACTCAATCAATCTACAGCAAAGTACATGATCATATTTCTTGATATTATAGTTACTGTACCTGTCTGTTTTAGCATTTTATAAGCCTCTATAATTTTGGTTTCTTTTGGTAATCCTACCGTCCAACTGTACATCAATTCTATAATACGTTTTTTAACTGCATCAGGTGTCCAGTCTCCATCATACTGGGGTCAACATAAAAAGAGACTGGCAATCAGAAGGTAAATGGCTAATACATTCAAGATAATATGGTTTATAGTGAATTATTCAGGGAGAATCTGTCGGCAGTCAGCAAACTTGCAAACCAGGTGCAATTTCACCTTAAAATATACCTGATGCTTTCATTATTATAATGTGATAACTACCATTGACATACAGGGTTTTCAGTAAGCACAAATGGCAGACAAAAATGCATCGGCTACTTTGCTCAGAACAGTCGCCTACTTTCCCCCCCCCCCAAAAAGCAACTTGTTTTAATAATGTTGTAAACAAAAATCATCATAAAAACTGAATGAAAACGTTAGCTTAATTATGATGCGTTTTCAAGAACCACTGGTGTTATGTTATGCTTCAGTTACACAATGCTCTTTTTCAGTTAATTTTTCTTATGTTCTTCAAAAGTTTACGCAGACTTTGTTTACGTGCGAATGTTCTTAATTCTGAATATTGACATTTGTCCACTGCTTGTAAGAATTGATTGCGTGGATGTGAAACCTGAATGAAAGCTACGTGTATATTTTCTTGAATGAAAAACACACTTATTTGTACCCAATTTAGTCCCCTCAAAACTGGAAATCGCAATTAAGGGCTTTGAAATTCCTAAATTTTCTGGCAGAGCATGCCTCCAGACCTCTTTAAAAGAAGGGGACTAACAGCTACAGTCAGTTACTCTACTTAAACCTGCTGGCTACTTCAATAATTTGTTATTGAAAACCCTGGACATAACAGTGATCTCTCTCTTATGACAGTACAAGATCTAAACAGTTAAAAATAAACAATTTTCTTTCATTTGTACATGATAGTTTTGTGTTGCTGTCAATGATCAAGCATTAAGATAGGTTTTCTTGTCATCCATGGGTTGTGAAAGCCCCTAGCTTCTTACCACTTTGTTGTATTATTTTTTGATATTCAGCATGCAAAGAAAGTAGTGTCCGCTAGCCTGGGGCTAGTGAATTTTGCTATCTGGCTAGTGAATTCTGTTTTTAACTTGCCCGATGGGCAAGTGATGTTTTTTGAGGAATTCAAATAACAGAAGAACTATGAAATCAATTCTGCTCTTCAAAAAGCTTTTGGGGCTAGTTGAAATGACATCTGGACTAGTAAATGTTACCTTCAGCTTGCCCGAATGGCAAGCTGTAAAAATGATTTTCTTTGCACCCTGATATTAATAATTATCTGTAGATGTTACACTAGTCAAATTTGACTTCTGATTAATTTTGATTAAACCTAGGTTGTTCCTTGTTTTCCTTTGCTTCTTAATAGCACCAGGAGACAAAGAAAATTAAGAATTGACCTACATGTAGGTTAAAACCAAATTTGACCCGTAACATTAGCATAGGGGAAATAAACTTTGGAAAATCTGGTCACATGCACTAATAAGACAAAATTTCCTACAATGAACAGATCATTTACCATGGTAAAACTGTCCCAAGAAACAGCACCTTCGACTACAAATAATGTGGTAATCAGAAATATTATTACCTTGGATGAAATAAGTTTGATGAGCTCATTCAAGAATCTGTATTTTCCAACTTCTGTGTGAAATCGCTGGCCACAGTTTTGTACGCAGGCTTCAATAAGCTGATTAAAAGGAACAGGAAGTACAGGGTAATATACATTAAAAAAATGGTTTACTACATAACTGTACATTGTAAATTCGTTAAGGGTTGCCTGAATTACTTTTTAATTGTCTTGCATAATACGTTATTTTATAATCATTGGAAAAGTGAAATTGCCTCTGTAAGTACAGACCTCAGGATATTTGCAGCATTTCACGCAAATTACGGAGTGTATTTGACAACTTTCATCTTTGGCTGAAATCAGTGAAGAGATGAACAACGATCTCTTGCCCTCAAACTGTACTGTGAATAACAGTCATATTTTGGGAAAAAATCAGTATAATTGTTTCCCTTACCAGTCCAGCTACAAAATTACTGCCGATTCAGTTTCACTTTTTCCTGGGGCAATTTTGTTACACAATTGAAACTAGAATTTTTTGCTGCACTGTTTGAAATGTTTTCAAGGGGCAAGGACATTGTGATGTACGGCACACCAATATTTTATTTTCATTTTGTTATAAACTCGGCTGGCTTTCGAAAAAAAAGCGTTGTCTTATTTGGCTCTTTGTACCCTTAAGGCTGGACATTCTTTCATTGTTATTTTTTGCTTTGCTGGTTAGAATTTTTTTCCCAACATCAGATTTTCCAACAGAAGTGATTCTATTCTTTTTATCAATGAAGCTTTCCTTATCTCCTTGCGTAATCTGATCCATTTTAAGCAGTGAGAATTGCTTGTTTCATATGGAACCATTTTCTTTGCTTGAGCCATTGTTTCAAAAGCTTTTCTTCATTAAAACTTTACATAAATGACCACAAAATTAAAAGAAATGCTGCAAGTACTAATTTTCTTTGACTGCTGGGCCAGGTTTGATTATGATAATAATAATAATCATAACTATGACAAAATTCTCAAATCTTGATTTCAACTGCCCTGATTTCAGCCTTAATTGGACAGCTTGATAGGACAGTACGCGTCATGCCTAAGTAATTGGACAGTACGCGCCATCACGCGCGCTTAAATGGCTTTTTTTTTCACTGCTAGCAAAACAAAATTTCGAATTTCTTGTGTTTTGATTTAAAAAATAGCCTATTATATCACAAATTTTGTTAAAGTTATGATTAATTGGTAACAGAACTTCGTGTCATCCAATTTGGTCTGTAATCATATTCGTGATTAAACAAATCGGACTCCCGCTACGTGGTCATCCGATTTTGTTAATCACTCGCATCATTACAGACCGAATTGGACTCCACTCAGTCCTGTTACCATTACTAATTATAATATTAATGATATTATTTTAACAATAAGGATATAAACAAGCCTGTGGGCGAGCTCTCTGTTTTAGGGGAAGGGGGCTAAAAATCATGAGGACATGGCAAGGAAAAGAAAAAGTAAGGAGAGACTGGGTCTAGTCCGTCACTTGGCTCCCTTTAGTTGCTGATTTTTTCCCTTTTTCCACATTGAGGGGCTTGAATCCAAGCTCAACCCAAAACATGACCTTTTGACCTTTTTGCATATAGGTAAGGTGCCATTGTTTCCTAGATCATGAGCTGAAAGAGCTGCAGGAGGTGACTAACAAGATTGTTGGCTTATTTTTGGACCTCGGAGTTTCTTTGGAAAAGCACAGGGATGTTATGATATTTACAGATTGTAAAACTCACATTAAGACCAAGTATTGCTTCCTCTTCATGGGAACTCTTTACTTTTGTTGCTATGTAACGAATCCCAATTTGTGGACTGCCATGTTGTTTTACGTGAAAAGATTTAGAAACAAGACAATACAATATTTATTTAGAAACCAAAAAATAAATTAATATTAAAGCTAAAAGTTAACAATAAACTTAATTTAGTTTCTTGAGTAATAAACAACACGCAGCCTGAATCTCCTGTTCTATTTTCGTCTTCATATTTGCATCTCACTGAAATACAAAAGCGCATGTTATATCGTACTAGGGTTAGTATTATTTGCCAGTCACAATATAATATTTATTGCCCCTGCAGGGTTCCGGCCCAGAGGCCGGAACCCGAGAAGGCACCCTAATGTCCCCCGCGTGAAGTAAAAGTATCGTATCGTTGTAGTGTTAGTATGCGAAATTTTCTCGATTTGATGAAACTAGTCACGCACGGTGGTCCCGGTTAATTTTCAGCTTGTGCGCCTGGCTCAGCAACCGCGCAAACTGGGTTTGTCAATGAGTCGCATTCGCCGAATTGCGTCACACACAAGCACAACAAGTGGCTCCAAATCCTCGCCCAGGAAGATTTTCCACCGAAACTCCTCTGGAGCAAGAACGCCGGCTTCAAATTCAGTGTGAACAACGAAGGAGAAGACGTCAACAAGAAACCGCGGAGCAGAAGAAACATCGATTAGCACAGTGAAGGCAACGCTGACAGCAAGAGACAGAGGAACAGGAGATTGGAATCAGAGGAATTATGATCGTTTTACACTGTCAAAAACCCAGATTTCTTAGTTTGCCGGTTTCCCCACAGATCTATAGATCAAAGTCTGCAAAGTTTCAGCTCTGTATTACGGCCCGAAGAATAATAATTTTCAGGCGAACTGCATCGGGCCATATTTGTTCTTTGTTTTTGTCTTTTTCTAAATCCGGACACCGAAATAATGCTAAATCTGCTTTTCAATACACTGTTAACAATAACACCACATAATACGCAAAAAAGAAGAAGAAGAAAAGAAAGAACAACGTATGGACCTTTAAGACGATATTCGTGGTTGGTCACCCATCCACTTCGAATTCTTAACCCCGACCGACAGGGCTTAACTTGAGTGCCCTTACCAGGGTTAGTTTATTGCGAAATCATTTATATCAGTTGTGTTCAAGAATGTCACACTCGAATCCAAAGCATTCATTCGACACATTAGTTATAGGACATTTATATTATTAGTTACAAATAAATAATTAAAGATGGTTTTGTTGTTTAACACGCGTTCTATTACATTTGCAGTGTTGGTTGAACTCATTATGGGATGTATAAAAAACAATTTTCCATCCTAAGCATGACATGTATCTGGATTTTCATTAACCCAGGAAACAAAGTGTAATAATTGAAAAAACACAACAGAAAACAAAAGAATTACACTCAGAAACTCTAATACGAAAACTGCATTTCAAAAGTTCATGGCAAATACATGGACAACCACAAGGAGTCTTCATTCGGGTTTTAAAAGGTCGGGGGCAGATTTAGTGACAACTATGACTAGTTTTTAAAGGTAAACTTCAGGAAGACCTACCCATCCAGATCTAGATTAATTCTGTCACATACTGGAGATGTGTAATCAACTCCATCGTTTGTTTTTGATGGATCCGTTGCTTTATCTAGGAGAAAGTTTTTCCGTAAGTAAACTCGGGAGATTGACCAAAAGAAACTCAAACTTTCAACATAATATACTCTACCAATCAAAGTCTCCAACGTTTCCACCATCTTGCCCTTTCAACTTCACTTGTACGCATGCGCTAGAGGGAAGCGCGGTTACTCGGCAGTTAATCAAAATGGCGTCCGAAGTTAGTGGATTTCGCACAATCTGCGTAAAATTTAACGAGAAATGTAGTTCTTACCACTTTTTGTTTTGTAAAAGACATTCCACACGAGATGAAGATGCAAAAAATCCACCAGATAAGACGCTTTTTGTCGTAAATATCCCACCATATTGCACAAAAGTAAGTGCCTTTGGAACACGTTTAGTACACTCAAATTGTGTCTAATCTCACTACTTGCTATAATTTTATTGTAATTCTATCTTGCGGTACTCTTACTATGATTTTTCCTTTCATAAATTTTCTTAGGGAGCCTTAAAGCGCTTATTTAGCTGTTGCGGTGCGATAAAAGATGTTTATCTTGTGAAGCAACCTGGATCGGAAGAAAAGGAGACAACAAGTTTAGTCATTCCCTCTCAAAAAGTCAAGGTAGATTTACAAAGTTTCCCATATGCTTAGTTTTATGAAAGTCTCTTTCACCAAACATATGTATCTCCCATACACAACAACAGTAAGCAAGGCCACGCTCTAGCAGAGCCCGGTGCATGGCCCGTAGCGCCTAACTTTTGTTCCCAGGCGACTAGAAAATCTTAGCTTTTATAGAAGTCATATGCTGGGCACACTAGATTTCACAAGTTCAGAGCACTGGGCTCCCTTCAATTTTTCTTATAGCAAAGCCTTGAGTAAGTTTTCATGCACCCTGCGAGCGCACAGAGCCTCCTTTTGCCTTCTTCTTGATTGAGGTGGGAAAAGGATGCTCTGCTTATAAATAGCGTTAAGTTAACAGTTAAGTATTTTGAAGCTGCAGCAGTGCAAACTTCTGGACTAGTTAATATTGTTTACTTTTCAAACACAGTTGTGAATGCAATTAATGCAATTGTGTAAGAAGCCTGAAAAAAAAAATTCAGGACTTCAACGGGATTTGAACCCGTGACCTTGTGATACCAGTGCAATGCTCGAACCAACTGAGCTATGAAGTCACTGATGTTGGGAGCTGGTCAATTATGTGTTTGTTTAGAGAATCACACCAGTATCGAGAGGTCACGGGTTCAAATCCCATTGAAGTCCTGTATTTTTTTTTTCAGGCTTCTTACTCAATTGGGCAATTCCAGAAAATATCCATACCCAACCACGGACGGCTTCCATGTTTTATCCCCCCCTTGCCTTCGGAAATTCCAAAATGTGTTACCCCCCCATGCCCTCAGAATTCCATAATCGTGAACCCCCCCCCCTCCCCTTCAGAATTTCCGTCTTTTTGGAAGTACATTTTCGACTTAGCAACGCCTGTATGAACAAACAAACATGAATTTATGCCTCCTCAAGGCTATGATCTAGCGGCGACAGGCGACAAGCTTTACTCTAACCTACCACTAGTAGCCGGGCTGTGCAAACTCCTTTTTAGGTCCGAATTTGGCTATAAAAATAAACACCACTAACGGCAATTTTACTCCTCTTTGTTTTCTTGTGCTGTTTTGACGTTTACAAAGCAAAATAGCTAAAATTCAGACTGTTAAAATCTTTCGGCGGTCAAATATACCGTCGAGTCGTGTTGCGTCCTTTTATAACTCATGTAGTGTGCACGAAAAGTGTTCTAATCTGACAGGCGTTCCTTGGAAGCCAGGGACTGGTGCGAGTTTTTTTACTGTTCAACGCACGGGAGTATAAACAAGAAACTTGCAAGCAGTGAGATACAAATTCCGTTTTTTTTTTCATGTGACAAGAAATTCATCAAGGTTAATGTGAAACCCACGTTTTACTGTTCACTTCTATAAGTTATGAGCGTAAACACGTGTCTGATCTTTCGATGCTTGTCCTCTGCTTCAGCGGTCATACGTTCGTGGTTTATTTACGAAGTACAAAAGTCCACAACAATAGCGTTTTCACGGAACTCACTCTACACTTTCTACTCCAGAAATCCCACCTGTAGAATTCCCCCATGCCTTCGGATTTCCAATCTTAAATACCCCCCCCATGCCCTCAGAATTCCATAATCGTGAACCCCCCCTCCCCTTCGGAAATCCTAAAAGCCGTCCGTGGTATGGTATGGATATTTTCTGGAATCGCCCATTGTGTAAATCATGTTCACAACTGCGAGGATCTTTCTTCATTTGATTTCATTTCGGCAGTTCTTATATGATTTAAACTCATCACCAATTGATGAGCTTGGGTGTTGGTGCCTACAAAGTTGGTGGAGCCGGGCAATGCTCTAACATGAGGAGGAGGTATCCATGGCAACCCTGCGAGCAGCCCCCACCAGGCACCATCACACTGAACAATTCAGTGGAATACTTACCGACCCAATACTTACCTAGCCCATACCAAGAGGGAGGGACGGATGGGAAAAACCAAAGTACAAACTGGCACGCAAACAGCAAGCTATTGCAACAACACTTT